TATATATATATATATATATATATATATATATATATATATATATATATATATATATATATATATATATATATATATATATATATATATATATATATATATATATATATATATATATATATATATATATATATATATATATATATATATATATATATATATATATATATATATATATATATATATATATATATATATATATATATATATATATATATATATATATATATATATATATATATATATATATTTATATATATATATATATATATATATATATCATATATATATATATCTATATCTATCTATATATATATATATATATATATATATATATATATATATATATATATATATATATATATATATATATATATATATATATATATATATATATATATATATATATATATATATATATATATATATATATATATATATATATATATATATATATATATATATATATATATATATATATATATATATATATATATATATATATATATATATATATATATATATATATATATATATATATATATATATGTTCTTCATTTTTATTATTGGGACTAGATTAATAACAAATAATATATTTCAATATAATGATTTGTTTTGTCGATTGGGATTTATTCCAATAATTATATAGATCTGACCTAAATTTTTGTAAGATTTTACATGTTTTGATTGGTCAAGATTTTTTTTTATTTATTCAATTTTTTTTATTGAGTATAAGAATAAAAGCATCTCTGCATTAAAGAAAAAGTGCAATAACAAAAAATAAGAAAGACGAGAAAAAAAAATAATTATTAAAATTAAAAATAATGTTATTCCAAAGATTTTTATTTTAACGTGAGTGCAGCTATAGAATAAGTGAAATAAAGTCTCTTCGATTGGTCTTGTTTTTTTTTCCCAACATGCCTGTTTTTTTTTTGTTTGTTTTTTTTTTATTGTATTTTAACAATACAAACATATTAATCATAACAATGGATGACATCAAGTACAATAGTAAATAAGTAAAATTAATAATAAAATAACATAAATAAAAATAAAAAGAGGCAAATGATCAAATTAAACAATATTTACAAAGTCCTTATAAAATGTCACAGTTTTGAACACTTTTTTTTGCTGTAAACATTTTGAAACAATTTAAGTCACAATGAAAAAAATTCTGCAATTTAGGTAATGATGAAGAAAATTGATTGGTCAAGATTTGATGGAACCAAACCAAAGTTTGAGGTGACGTCACAATAATAGTTGATTCATTTATAGGTGGAAGTAAAAAATTGCAAGCTTTGGATGTTTGTCTTCTAAACGTAAATTTTGTCACTGTTTTGAAGCACACTCGGTTATCGTTATCATCAAAACTAACACTATGATACTGACATCTAGCAAACTTTATTTTAATTTCATGTGGCCTTTAAATTTAAAAGCGCCGTGCGGGTGTGTTGAATCAGCTGAAGGCGAACGTCAGATTGATCCTCCGTCCAGACAGAATCACTTTTCCTCAGTTCTGCGTTCACTTTCTGCTGTGTTCCTGCTCAAATGGCGACTCTCATGTTTATCAATAGAATTTTGAGAAAAGCTGCGACACAGAAGCGGTCATACAGGTAAACAGTGTTGTGTTTGTGACGCAACATAAAGCGAGAATGCGGTGTTTGTTGTGTGGCGAAAAGCGGTAGCTTCAGTGCTGAGGTAAAGTTGGTTTTAAATTCGCACATTCGTTCATTTTAACTGTTGTTTACCTCGCTACTTTGAATATTTAACCGCATTTACTTATAACTTTAAAACAAAACGACATGTTTTTTAATTGACTATGAGCAGTGTTGTACTTTGATAGCCATTGGCTGCTAATATGATTTCACTAACGTCATTTTCTGAATTAACGTTAATATTAACAAGGAGAAACTCCGAATGTGCGGATATATAACCAACTTTTCCTCAATTGTTTTTGTTTGTATGTTCAGCAATGAGTTTTTTAATAATGTGTGTGTGATTTCAGTGTGAGTGTGTGTGGAAAGCTGTCAGTCAATGGAGTGAATCTACATTATCAGCGCGCTGGAGAAGGAAAACACACCGTTCTGCTGCTGCCTGGAGCTTTAGGTCTGCATTACAACTACAGACTGTATAATAACCGATAACACACTGCTATGCAATATAATAATAATAATAATAATAATAATAATAATAATAATTTAATAGCCAAAGTCTAACTCTGCAGTTCACTAGCACTATTTTACAATTTATATATGTGCATTATAGATGGGCATAGATAATTTTATTTTTTTTTTTAATTTAGATTTATCTAGATTAAAATAGCTCATTTAAATTCTGCCCAAGGCATCGAGAATATGTGTGCGACCCAAATAATAAGTCTTTGAGAACAGGTTTCTCAAGCCAGGTGGCGCATTAGACCAGGGGCTCATCTCCTGTTTCCAAAAAGCATCACAAACTGCTTGAGAAACTGTTCTACTCTGATAATTGGTGATGAAAATAAATGATGTTCAGTAAGATGTACTTGTGTTTACTCACTGTTTATTCAGTTCAACATAAATGTTGAATTGTAGGCTTATATAAGCTCCAAACAGCGATTTCTGAAGACCTTAATCCGACTAAAGTCATCACTGAACTAAACAGAAATGGAATTAAGACATGGGAGTATGCGGATATTAGTGGCATTAATGAAGTAAACACCGCGATCAGACTATTAAAGTCAAACTGTTGAAGTCCGGCATCCTGCTGATTTGATTCAGAAGGGCACTTTTTTGTCAGACGTCTCACCGGCTAGGTGTACTTCAGCTCTAAAATTTCAAGGTGAAAGTTACCATAGCTTGCGTAGAATCAGTGGTGGAAAGAGTATTATAAAATCATACTCAAGTAAAATTACCATTACTTGCCTAAAATGTAGTGTGAGTCGAGTAAAAGTACCTGTTGTAAATATTACTCAAAGTATGAGTAAAAAGTAGACCTTTCAAAAATACTCAAGAGTAGTGAGTAGTGAATATTACGTATAAAGCTGATGCGTTTACATGTAATTTGTGGATGTGTGTGTATAAACGTAACATTCTGTAGTGCATTTAGTTATTGCCCAGCAGGCACACTACATCATAAGACGTTAATATTTGGTTAGATTTAGGTTGTGATGTCAGGTGACCAAAATTTAATAGCTAATTAGCGTCTAAGGACAACGTTATTTTGATGTCCAATAATGGTTTCAAATGACGTTGATATTTGGTTGATTTAAGGTTGTGGTAGAAAGTGACGAAAATCCAACGTCAAGCCAACATCTTAAACCAACGTCATATTGACGTCAAATACTGACATTTATTCCTCAGGTATGGCAACCAAAATCCAACATCTGATAGACGTCATAGTGGTAACGTCCAGACAACGTCAAGCTATGACATCATTAGACGTTGATATTTGGTTGGTTTTAGTTTGGACATTGACTTTGGTTGGAAGTTGAGTTCTGTCGTCAACCTGATTTTCATTTCCAAACAAAATGCAACGTCTCCACGACGTTATGGTATAACGTTAATCTGACGTCATGTTGATGTCTTGTGCCTGCTGGGTGTTTAAGGCCATTTCGGTCATCATACAGTAAACATCCATCATCTTATCAGTGACCTGCATCTAAACAGTCTCTGGGTCAGTGTGTGTAAAGATTTTGGACATCATCTTGGACACTTTTTATGCTTCCAAACAGTTTGCTTCCATTATAAATCACACATGTCTTGAGGTAGATTATTATGATGCGATTTACCTTCTGTGTGATTTGATTGGACAGGAATCACAGGGCTGACTTTTCTAATCCCCATAGACAAGAGAAAATACAGTAGTGACCGCAGGTTGAAGGACAGTAGTGGAGTAAAAGTACAGATACTGCACTAAACATGTACTCAAGTGAAAGTAAAAGTACACCTAAAACTACTTACTAAATTACAATTCCTGAGAAAAACTACTCAATTACAGTCATTTGAGTATTTGTAATTAGTTGCTTTACACCACTGCGTAGAATAGACCCAGCTCCCAACCCAACTTTGAGAATAATAGATTAACGGCCATATGTTTTTTTATCGCGCAATAAGAGTCTCGCATTAATGCTGCACGTTAATGCCGAATATTAATACTAATATATACACGATCGCTCTGTGCAACAAACTGAATGTTGTTATCAACTTTATTACGTGTTATTCACAGCCTATGCTGGTTCTGTGTACTGAAGTAGGCATCAGGCGGCTACGCACGTCCTCTCAGTAGTAAACAAACAGTGCGTCAGATCACGTGTGATTTTGCAGCCGCGAATACATCTTTACATTAAGACAGAAATGATTTTGGGAGAATTAAACCTTATAAAAACAGTATGTGACACTTTTAACACCATTTGGAGGTGTCCATGCTGCTGTGAAGACTTGTGCGTTCGCCTTTACACTTCTCTCCTGACCTTAAAAATATAATTGGCTGAATCGTAGAAAACTTAAGATTGCGTTTAGGGTAGAATCGAGATAGTGATATTTTTTCGATTAATCGTTAAGCCCTAATGTCAACGCCACAGCCTACCTGAGTATTGCTGCTGACCATGTCCATCCCTTTATGAGCACAGTGTCTCCATCTTCTGATGGCTACTTCCAGCAGGATAACGCAGCATGTCATAAAGCTCAATCATCTCAGACTGGTTTCTTGAACATGACAATGAGTTCACTACTCAAATGGCCTCCACAGTCACCAGAGCTCAATCCAATAGAGCAGCTTTGGGATGTGGTGGAACGGGAGATTGGCATCATGGATGTGCAGCCGGCCGGCAAATCTGCATCAACTGTGTGATGCTATCATGTCAATATGGAGCAAAATCTCTGAGGAATATTTCCAGTAGCTTGTTGAATCTACGCCATGAAGGATTAAGGCAAATTGAAGGGAAAATGGGGTCCAACCTGGTACTAGTAAGGTGTACATAATGAACCTAATATATCAATAACTGTACTGTAATCAGTAATAATTATTATTGTCTATTTAAATATAGCATTAATAAACATAACACTTTATTATCTTATAGTTTATAGTTTTTCTGATTTATCGATAAATCATTTAGGTTGACTATTGGATTATATTTTATTTTATTAATTAGCTTTAATTGTTTTTATAATTCAGACTACTATACAGTCAATAAAATGGGATTATTAAATCCCCCACTAATAATAAGCACACATACTATTATTAAAAGTCAGTTTTACACATTTTTATTACATATTTTGAAATAAAATATTTTATCTAATATCTATGTTTTGTTAATTTTAAGATGTATTCCAATAATGGAAATGATGTTTGAGAGTTTTGTTGATGTTTGGCAGATACAGTAAGTGTTGTTCTTGTTTGTTATCCTCTGTCTGTGTTTGTGTGTGTTGTTGTTTCTTTTCCACTGTTTTCTTTTCTTGTGTTTCCTTAGTTTTCTTTTCTTGTGTGTTTTCTTCTGTTTGTGATGCCCTTGTGTGTGTTTTTCGCTCTGTGTTTGTAATTTTTACTAAGATGTTCTTGTTTTGTTTGTTAATTGCTTGTGTTTGTGATGCTCGTGTGCTTTTTTACCTTTGTGATTTTATTTTCGTGTGGATTGTTTTTTTAATTTCTTGTTTTTCAGAAAGTAAATAACAAACAAAGGAAAATTAGGAAAACAACCCAAACGAAAATAAAAATCACAATCAAAAGGTAAAAAAAAAAAAAAAAACACAAGGGCATCACAAACACAATAAATTAACAAGCAGAGAGAAAATAAAATCACAAACAGAGAAAAACCAGAAAGAAAATAACAAACACACATAGATTTTCTCTGTTTGTGATTTTATTTCCTAGTTTTTTCTCTCTCTGTTTGATCATTTCTTGTTTGTGATGCCCTTGTGTGTGTGTGTGTTTTGTTCGTGATTTTTATTTTCTTGCGGGTTTTTTTCTTAATTTCTTGTGTTTTCTTGTGTGTTTATTTTCTTTCTAGTTTTCTTCTTCTGTTTGTGACTTTTTTTTTCTTGTGTTTTTTTTCTGTTAATTTTTTTTCTGTTTGTTAATTTATTGTGTGTTTTCCTTTTTTGTTTGTGTTTTTTGTTTTGTTTTTGCCTTTCTTTTAATTTCTATATTTTTTGTTTGTTTGTTTCTTAATCTCTTGTGTGTTTTCCAGGCAGTGGAGAGACTGATGTCGGTCTTCAGCTTTCCGCTCTGTGTGTTTATTTTCTTTTTAGTTTTCTCCCTTTTTTTCTCTAATTTTTTTTGTGGGTTTTTTTCTTTCTTTTTGTTAATTTCTTGTGTTTTCCTTTTGTTTGTCTTTATTTTTTTATTTATAATTTTTTTTTTGTTTGATTTGTCTTAATCTCTTGTGTGTTTTCCAGGCAGTGGAGAGACTGATGTCGGTCTTCAGCTTTCCGCTCTGTGTGTTTATTTTCTTTTTAGTTTTCTCCCTTTTTTTCTGTTAATTTTTTTGTGGGTTTTTTCTTTCTTTTTGTTAATTTCTTGTGTTTTTCTTTTGTTTGTCTTTATTTTTTTATTTATAATTTTTTTTTGTTTGTTTGTTTCTTAATCTCTTGTGTGTTTTCCAGGCAGTGGAGAGACTGATGTCGGTCTTCAGCTTTCCGCTCTGTGTGTTTATTTTCTTTTTAGTTTTCTCCCTTTTCTTCTGTTAATTTTTTGTGGGTTTTTTTCTTTCTGTTTGTTAATTTCTTGTGTTTTCCTTTTGTGTTTTTGTGTTTTCTTCTGTGTTTGTCTTTATTTTTTTATTCATAATTTTTTTTGTTTTTTCATTTCATGTGTGTTTTTCCAGGAAGTGGAGAGACTGATTTCGGTCCTCAGCTTTCCGCTCTGGACAGCAGCAGGTTTACCGTGGTATCGTGGGACCCGCGGGGTTACGGACGCTCTCGGCCTCCAGACAGAGACTTTCCTCTTCATTTCTTCCACAGAGATGCTAAAGACGCTGTGGATTTAATGCAGGTATGACTGAAATAAAAGGAGCGTCAGTTATATGACAAAGTATGTTAAATGTTTCACTTTAATCTCAACGAAAAGGTTCCTGGCATTCCCCTCAAAGTGAAATAACGAAGAATAAACATTGAGGTTTGAGAAAAAATAATAATTTTAGAAGAAGATCTCAGACAGCACTTAAAGGGGTTTGCATTTAATCTCTAACAAAAAGAATTCTTTGAATGCATGTGTATATGTATGCAAGTTTTTATTTAATTTTAAGTGACAATGGTATTCATTTTATAATGTTGGATTTAGTTTTAATTTGAAAAGCAGTCTCCTGTGTCTTAAAATATGCATTTTGTTTACTGATCAACAACAATCAGTTTTAATAATGTCTGTCTGTTTGTCTGTGTGTCTATATGTGTTTGTCAGGCTCTGGGCTTCAGGCGTTTCTCTCTGTTAGGCTGGAGTGACGGCGGCATCACGGCTCTGATCGCGGCCGCTTTAAACCCAACACTCGTCAATAAGCTGGTGGTTTGGGGCGCCAACGCTTTCGTCTCCGAAGAAGATATTCAGATCTATCAGTGTGAGACTTTTACAATGTTTACTTGTATTTTCTTGTGTTTCCAAAACTTCTGTGCAGTTTCAGCTCAAAATACCTCATGAATTATTATATATTACACTGCAAAACATCCTTTCCCACTTAGAGTTTTGTCCTGTTTCTTGTCTAATTATCTAAAAACTCTCAAACAAGAAGTTTTTTTCTAGAATAGCAAAACGTGTTGTTATTTCAGGAACGATTTATGTTGTTTTCAGAAATAATATGTCAAAATTAAGTGAGTTTTTCTTTAAAATAAGCTAAATAATCTTCCAAGGTTCTATATGGCAGATCACTCATTGACGCATGACTTTTCAAGAAATACAATCAAAAAATATATATAAGTTGGTGTTGTAACAGTATGTTGATGCTTGAGAAAATTACATTTGTGCTTTCTTTAACATTTATTTCGTGTTTTAGGATGAATATTTTTACTTGTTCAAACTTAACATGCAAAGCTGTGCTAAATATTTTATCCAGTGCAGAAGTTAAGTTTATGTAATTAATATGGTCATAGTTATTAAACTTTATGCATTAAATGAATTATTAAATAATATTTATTGAATTTTATGCTATATTTATTGAAATATGAATTAAATGTAGTATGTGCCCTTTAAGGCTTAATATTAAATTTAAAGATTTTTAAAGAAAACCGACAATGAGCAAATGAGTTTAATAAACACTGAAAAGTGTTTCACTGACTATACATACACAAATAAAAATATTTCACATTTAATATATAGTTAAAAAAAAAAAAAAATTTATTTCAGCGGTGTCAAATTTAACATTTAATCTCAAGGTCAAAAAATGCTTCTAAATCATCGCATCTCAATTGTGCGTGCTGTGGCGTTGTTTAGTCGACTCTGATTTTGAGTGATTTTGTCTTTCTGGTGTTTCCTGCTGTCAATGGAGCAGTCCGGCGACATGACAAAGAAAGCTGATCCTGATTGGTCCGTGTGTGTGCATTAAAAATGCTGATTGGCTCACAGAAAGAATCTTATAGATCCAAGCTAGAGTTCGACTTTGTAGATAAACCGTTTTTGTTTTTTAAATAAAAAGTCTTACAATGTAAACAACTTATAAAAACACATCACATAATGTAAATAAACTGTCATTTAATAAGAATATGTTAATAACTCTATCTCTGACAAAAAATGTCAGATAGAACCTTATAATTCTTAAGGCTCCTACACACCGGGATGCTTTTCATTTGCGTTTATCGTCAGTATTAGACGTTTTTCAGTGTTCAAACCCAAGCGCTTTTCACTGCCGTCAAGCTGACGAGTATGCAAAATCACTCTTTTGATGTTAGATGGTGCTGCACAACATAAAGCTTCTGACACCCGCTTATAACACAGAAGAAGAGGAGGAGAGGATGTTCACACGCTTGTTGTTAAAGTTACTGGTGACTCGAACAAGCATGGATGGTTCAAGCAGCAGCTCCAGCTCTAGCGATGAAGAAATGATTAGTGTTCACAAGAGCAATAAGCAGCTAAACGTTCATATCGCCTCTGGGCATCTTCTTCAATAGGCGCTCGCATTGACAGTTTTGCGCTTGAGCGCCTCCAAGTGCTGTTTACTTTAACTTCAGCAGCTCCGTGCACGTGAAGAGACGCGGCGCGTCAAAACAAAAAACCGAGCATGAGGCGTTTTTTTTAAATGACGCTTTTGCGCCTGGCGTTTTGCGCGTTGGTGTGCACAATCACTTTGACGCCCTTTATTTAGTCACGAGGTGTTAAACGTCGACGGAAAACGCGAGCAAAAAACGTCTCGATGTGCACAGGCCTTAAGTCGACGACTTGTCAACTTGTATATTTGCATTGACTACTTGCTTGAGCTACTTGCTGTCCCGGGAGAGAGTCCTGAGCTCGTAATATCCTCGAGCCCTGGGCTCCCTCCCGTTATAAGGGCGAGAGGGGAATTCGAGGTCAGGTAGGTCTCGAGAACTCCCCTGCTTATCACAGTGAGAAGTGTAAACTAAGGTTGTATTGGGTGATAATTTGGTTTAGTCATTTGGCTATGGTTTATATTTTTGGACGGTGGGAGGAAACCGGGGAACCCGGGGAAAACCCACAAAAACATGGGGAGAACATGCAAAATCCACACAGAAACACCAACCGGCCCGATGGGTTGGACCAGCGGTGTTCTTGCTGTGAGGCAACAGTGCTAGCCACTGGGCCACCGTGTCGCCCGATCAGACAAAGTGGAAGGATGTAGGGGTGGAAAGGGGGGGAGCTTCAAGACGAAGATAACTGGAGTGAAAAACTCAGGTTATATATAATGCTTCCGTAATCATCTAATAGGGCTGATTACGGAGCCAACAAGGAGCCTGCCGTGTTGATTATAAGCACGTGATCCTCTCGAAATTAGTTTATGAATAAACCACACTTATTATCTGTTTTTGTCTCGTCTCTGTAATTCTGTTGCACTGTAGAAGCTCTGTCCCCAAAACACATTCCTCGTATGTGTGAACATACCTGGCAATAAAGCTCTTTTTGGTTCTGATTCTGGTTTGTTTCACCGTTGCAGGGATGCGTTTTGACGTTGTAACAAAAACTTTGATTACCTTCTCGTGCTAATCGAAATGCATCACATGACTGTTCATTAACCGTGCAAGCCCGGCCCGACCCCATCTGAAATGAGAAATTAAGCCCGGACCCACCCAATCCTGTTGGGTCCCGCCGGGTTTGGGCAAAGATCTTCAGCTGTAATTCATCAGAGTGTGTTTTTAAGCAGTGTTGGGTGATGCGTTTTAAGTTATCTAATCAGATTACGTATTTGAGGAACTAGTAATGTAATGTGTGTATTTATATAGCGCATTTATTGTGTCACAATCATGAGAGGGGGGCTCACCATACCACTCCCAGTGTGTAGCATTTACTTTGGATGATGCGACGGCAGCCACAGGACACCGGCGCCAGTGCTTCACCACACACCAGCTATAGGGGGAGTGGAGAGACCATGATAGAGCCGATTCAGTGGAGCGGGATGATTGGGAGGCCATAGAGGGAAATTGGCCAGGACTCCAGGGTTACACCACTACTCTTTACCAGAATGCAGGGGCGGCATGGCTATCTGGCAATTCTGGCAAATGCCAGAAGGGCCGGACCATTTTTCAAATGTGGGCCGGTATGCTATTTTTTAAATAACGTTTTTTATATGTATTGTTTTTACATGCAGGCAGCTTTTATCTCTTGCAAGATGTGAATATTATGATAATGATGATGATGATAATAATAATGATAATAATAATGATAATAAATGTTAAGCATTGGCCCAATCGGCAATAGCCGACTGGTTTCGAGATGGGCTGACCCAATCTGAGGTTACGTGGACGTAATAAAAATTTGGTGGGAATGTCAAACAAACAGTGAGTGCAACACAAGCTAATTGTCAGAGATGGACCAAAAAAAAGGAAAGGCGGTGCCGAAAAGCCCAGAGAAAGCCAAAAATTGCTCCAAAATCAGAAGCTGCCAAATGCATAAAATTAACTGTAATAGTTTCGTAAGGACAATGTCGACAGCAAGAAGGTCAATGGTTTGCATGTTCGCGTGGGTTTCCTCCTGGTTTCCCTCACAAGTCCAAACACGTGTGCTATAAGTGAATTGGGTAGGCCTAATTGTCTGTGGTGCATGTGTGTGCATGTGTGTGTATAGGGGTTTCCCAATGATGGGTTGCAGCTTGGAGGAAATCCGCTGCGTAAAAATATGGTACTGCTTACATTATTTCACCATCTATACAACAATATAAGTAGTGAATGTGCGTGTCCGTGGATGGAGTTGTGTCGGTGTGGTAATGTGGGCTGGTGTGGCTACAGTGCCAGGGCTGATTTTTAGTCCCAGTCCGCCCCTGCCAGAATGGGATTATTAAAAAACACAGAGAGTCTGGACCTCGGTTTAACGTCTCATCTGAAAGACAGCACTCACTGACAGTATAGAGTCCCCTTCACTATACTGGGGCATTAGGACTCACACAGACCACAGGTTGGGCGCCCCCTGCTGGCTTCTCGAACACCACTTCCAACAGCAACCTAGTGTTCCCTAGTGGTCTCCCATCCAACTACTGACCAGGCTCAGCCCTGCTTAGCTTCATAAGTAATCACTCCTGGGCTGCAGGGTGATATGCCTATGGCTAATCAGTGCTGATTAGTTTGTTTAAAAATTAATCGTGACTAATTGCATGCATAAATATCTGTATATTTGCATAATTTATTAGCATGCTCAATGTATTTTTATTATGTATATATAAATGCACAAACATGCGTGGGTATATACTTTTCAGATATCTACTTCTTTATATTTATATATAAATAAACAGACCTCTCTCTCCCTCATTTATATTTACACATACAGTGGTGTGAAAAAGTGTTTGCCCCCTCACCGACTTCCTTTTTTCTTGCATGTTTATCACACGTTAATGTGTCAGATCATCAAACTAATGTAAATATTATTCACACATCACACAATTAAACACATTATACTGTTTTTAAACAACATTTTCACACAGGGCTATGTAGTTTGTATTTAGTTTTCCCTTATTAATAAAAAGATCTTCATTTAAAAGCTGCCTGATGGTGTTAACTTGTGTGATCTTTGGCTAATATTTAAATTAGTTTGATGAGTTGAAGCATTAGTGTGACTAACATGTCTGTTTTGGGAGGACACTTAATTTTGTTATGTTAACTAAATGTGTGGATCCCTGTATTTTTGTACAGTGTGCTAGTAAATAAGTATTCTGATTACTAATCTGACGTTACTTGTATTTCCCACAACACTGATTGTAATGCATTGCTATTTTAAGTAACTTTTTTAAGTATTAGACTCCAAGTCTTGTCAGTCTAAACTCCTAATATCTTGATTATGCATGTGTGTGTGTTTTTCAGCGCTGCGTGACGTGTCGCTGTGGAGCGAGCGGATGCGTCGGCCGATGGAGCAGATGTACGGTGCTCAGTATTTCAAGCAGACGTGGGAGAGATGGGTGGACGGCATCAGCCAGTTTATAAACAAGCCACAAGGTGAGAACCAATCAGTAACCGACGCCAGTGCTTTTCAATAACGAATAGGCCCACGTGGAATCTGTATTTACCTACTTAAGTAAATGAATTTTAATTCAGTTTTTAATTAATTTCAGTAATATTATTGACTAATATTCACTCATTCATTTTCTTGTCGGCTTAGTCCCTTTATTAATCTGGGGTCGCCACAGCGGAATGAACCGCCAACTTATCCAGCACGTTTTTCGTGGATGCCCTTCCAGCTGCAACCCATCTCTGGGAAACATCCATACATTCACTCATACACTACGGACAATTTAGCCTACTCAATTCACCTGAACCGCATGTCTTTGGACTGTGGGGGAAACCGAAGTACCCGGAGGAAACCCGCGTGAAGGCAGGGAGAACATGCAAACTCCACACAGAAACACCAACTGAGCCGAGCCGAGGATCAAACCAGCGACCTTCTTGCTGTGAGGCGAACGTGCTGCCCACTGCGCCACTGCGTCGCCTATTGACTAATATGACGATGTTAATTAGATTAATTTACAAAACAGTTTGTAAAGTAATATTTTCTGTCTTTCAGTGGAGATATTATATGAGAGACTTGCTTTGTTAAGCAAATAAGTGGATCTAATTGGATTCGCATTGTGAACACTAAATAAAAGTTAAAAAGGTAGTATTTTTTATTTTAAAAATTAAGTTTTTTTTTTAGTTATGATACTCTCAAAATCATTCCGCATAAATCCGCAGATTTTATTTATTTATTTTTTTTACAAATTTTTGCGCAGAAATAGCAAAACATTTCTGCAGAATTTCTGTGGCCCCGTGAACAACTCTGTGTACAATATTGCTCAGTCACTTGTGCAGCGCTGCAGCCTACAAATACACAAACAACATGGAGTTACACTATAAAATGCTCAGTCTTGTTTCATATATTAGTCAGAATACATGAAAATATTATCCATTTAATAATTTACATAAATATTCAACTCTAAATAATATAATAAAATATACTTTTTGATTATTTAACTTTATTTACTAACTATTTTTTTAGTTTTTTGTAGTAGCTACTTATTAAAGTAACTCTATTGTAATATACATACATGCATACATATTTGGTCACACTGCAGACCCCGAATTGGTTTAATGATGTATCTAATAGCCCGTTTCCACTGAGTGGTACGGTACAGTTCGGTTCGGTACGCTTTTATGGCCGTTTCCACTGTCAAAAGTGTACCGAACCAAACCGTACCATACCACTTTTTCGGCACCCTTTCGAAAAGGTACCAAAAGATGGAGCTACACTTGCAGCTGAACGCTGATTGGTTACAGAGATACATCACGAGGTCGTGGAGCTACACAGAACGTAAACAAAGGAACCGCCATGTTTTTTTAAATATAAAGCCGAGACATTACATGGAAATACTACATGAATATAATAACCATCCATGGATGACCCGGGCTCAAACAATCCTTGTCGTCGTCTCGATGAACAGACAAGGCCAAGAAGAAAAATCTGCTGCGTCCTGTTGTTGTTTTACGAGCCCGTATAAAAGTGCGAGCGCTATTCGCTTTCTTCCGGGAGCTCGCGATCACTTCTATATTTCATTAAGAACTTCTTAAGCTGTTGATAATAACGTGTGCGTGATTGAAGTGTCTCCGTCATCTGATCCATTCAGGAAAAAAAGAACAAGCGCGAGAGTGAAGCGGGAGTGAAACACAGAAAAATACAAGAGAAGCCGTCAAAACACAGGAGCGAAATTGTTTCAGCAACCTGAATCATGAACAAACTGCCATGATTATCTTTGGCTTTTGGATTATTATGAACTGGGAAAGACAGAATGACTCTCTAACTGAGCTTACATGTGCTGCTGAAGATACAGACACTGATGAGAGGTTTGCGCTGACTGTGGGCTATATTGCGTGTGTTTTTGAACTCAAATAAGTACTAAATGCATGCTGTGAGTAGTTTTTCTGTAATTAATAATATATCGGAGACTGTAGGGGGCTGTATGTGTTCATATATGTTGCATTTATTTATTTATATAATTACAGACGTTACAGTAGGCTATTTCGCACTGTCATTGATCTGCAGTTATAATCAACTCATGTTCATAGAAAAGTTAGTAATAAACATTTATAAACAAGTATTTATGTGTGTAAAGCGTCTGTTTTGTGTGAAGAGCTTCTCATATGATATGTAAGCAACCCGTACAGCTTTACTGTAGACATTTATTCGAGCGAGCATGATGTTGACTTAAACTTTGTCATACACCACGCTTACCAAAAGGGTACCCTTTGTGGTTTAAACACAAGCCTGAACAGTCTCTTGAAATTACAATAACATTTCTAAGATGTCAGCATCAGTATGTTAGTCTTAAGAATATCTATAAGCTAGTGTGCTCCAAAACAATGACAACATTTAGAGCATGTAAAACTGTTATAAACATCCGAAGCTTTGCAGTTTGTCTCTTCCGCCTAAACGGATCGACGGTTTTATTCACGTCACCTCATACTTTAATTCCTCATCAAATCTTCTGACCAATCAAATGCTCTCTAGTGTCTGACATGCCCCGCCCCCATGTTCTCATTGGCTTCTCATTTGATGCGCTTGAGCTCATCCACTCCACTCAGCTGTGAGAAGGCTTAATGCTATTGGCTGTTTTTCAAAAAGGGGAGGGGTTACTATATGCCCCACCCCCTCTTCATGTTTCAGTTTAGATTACGTTAAACATTGAATTAAAAAAAATGCCATGTCACCCTGCAGCCCAAGAGTGGTTACTCACTGGAAGCAGGGCTGAGCCTGGTCCGTACCTGAGTGGGAGACCACATAGGAACACTAGGTTGCTGCCGGAAGTGGTGTTAGTGAGGCCAGCAGGGGGCACTCAACCTGTGGTCTGTGTGAGTCCTAATGCCCCAGTATAGTGAAGGGGACAATACACTGTCAGTGGGCGCCGTCTTTCGGATGAGACGTTAAACCGAGGTCCAGACTCTCTGTGGTCATTAATAACCCCATGGCACTTCTGGTAAAGAGTAGGGGTGTAACCCCGGTGTCCTGGCCAAATTCACTCCATCGGCCCTTACCCATCATCCTCTCAATCATCCCCATCCACTGAACTGGCTCTATCACTGTCTCTCCACTCCACCTATAGCTGGTGTGTGGTGAAGCACTTGCGCCGTTGTCCTGTGGCTGCCTAAGTAGAGCTGCACACTGGTGGAGGTGCGGAGACCCCTGCCTGATGATTGTGAAGCGCTTTGAGTGTATGGCCAAACACGATAAATGCGCTATATAAATACACTCTTTACATCACACTTTACGGGACACTAAATGGCTTATTTGAAGTAACTTGCTCACCTCTCGTCCTCAGGCAGCATCTGTGTGGACTTGCTGCCGCAGATCTCCTGTCCCACACTGATCCTCCACGGGGCCCAAGACCCGGTGGTGCCCGCATATCACCCTCAGCTGCTCCAGGATAGCATCAGCGGCTCCAGGTTAGAGTTCTTCTTTTTCTGTGACATTTACACTGCAGATCCTGTTGGTGAGTTCTGAGTTTTGTGACTGTATCTGATATTTTTTTTTTGCCGACCCGCTTAAATCATCTATTAAAAGTGACTCGTCATTCGTTCTGTCAGTATGTGGTTAAATCATTTTCTTACCTTTATAAAAACTCATCATGACTTTCATCAGAAATCTGATCATTTCTGGCATATCCGGAGTCTTCTATATGGGGGTTTTTAGAGAATGTAGATTAAAAGACAATATTTTTGCTAATTTTACCCTTCACTAAAGACTGATGGACGATTGTGTAATAAATGGCTGAATTATTGTGATAACATGAGACACCTACACCCACCGGCCACTTTATTAGGTACACTTTACTAGTAACCTGCCTTTTGCCTTCAGAACTGCCTTAATCCTTCATGGAAGAGATTCAACAAGCTGCTGGAAATATTCCTCAGAGATTTTGCTCCATATTGACATGATAGCATCACACAGTTGCTGCAGATTTGCACATCCATGATGCCGATCTCCCGTTCCACCACATCCCAAAGCTGCTCTATTGGATTGAGATCTGGTGACTGTGGAGGCCATTTGAGTACAGTGAACTCATCGTCATGTTCAAGAAACCAGTCTGAGATGATTGAGCTTTATGACATGGTGCGTTATCCTGCTGGAAGTAGCCATCAGAAGATGGAGACACTGTGCTCATAAAGGGATGGACATGGTCAGCAGCAATACTCAGGTAGGCTGTGGTGTTGATGCTCAACTGGTACTAATGAACCCAAAGAAAATCTCCCCCACACCATTACACCACCACCACCAGCCTGAACCGCTGATACAAGGCAGGATGGATCCATGCTTTCATGTTGTTGAGGCCAAATTCTGACCCGAGCATCCGAATGTGTCAGCAGAAATGGAGACTCATCAGAGCAGCAACGTTTCTCCAATCTTCTATTGTCCAGTTTTGGTGAGCCTGTGTGAATTGTAGCCTCAGGCCCCGTTTACACTAGAGCGTTTTAGTTTTAAATCGGCGTTTTAGAATGAAAACGATCCGCGTCCACACTCGCGTTTTACCCAGCGTTTCTGAACTGCTCTCCGTCCACACCAAAACGCTGAAACACACATCACGTGACCACAGACACACTCTCAGGCAAGCGCTGTAGCCAATCTACCCAGATGAGAGCTCTGCTAGTCAGACTTCTCATCAAGCATCTCCCGCTGGATCTAATCTCACTATACTTATTAAACGTGATATTTTATTCATCTTGTTGTCTTTATTTAACGACATATTCCCTGACTTTGGTCATTGGGATCTATTACTTGTTCTCAGGTAACGTGTTTTGGCTGAGCGCAAAGATAAGTTAATGATTAATGTAAGCACGTCTGTATATTGACTGATCGCCTTTATTTCCTATAATGTATAAACTTATTGTATGTTATACTTTTATAATGGCCATTATCCATTATTAAACTGATATTCAGCAAAAGAGAGGGTGTGTTTCGTATTTTCACTGAAATTGAAAGGAGGCAGTTGTTATTGGCTCCGTTTTGTTATAAATATCCACACAGTGAAGATGACGCTCATATATGCTGCACGACACCTCAACATTTCTGCTGTCTGTTAAGTTGTTAATATTAAAATGAAAATAGGCAGTTCCTTAAATCATGTTTACATTTTATTGTTGAGAAAGTGAAACGACGTAGCCAGGGTGATGTGAATGAAGTTATAAAGTACACTGTTCCCTGTGAAGATTGACGCATGTCCTCAGTATGTTTTCCATATCAAACTGAGAAGAAGAGACTGCAGCCTTGATCAAACTTGCGAAGTCTGAACTTACACGGAGAGGATTCAGGACTGAACTGTGTGTTAGGCTACTTAATATTGAGGAAAAGCCCCAATCAGAGAGGCGAATGTCTGCAGCCCCGCCTCCGTTTTCAGATGTCTCCGTCTTTCCCCATCCACACTGAGACGGAGCAGCAGCGTTTCAGAATGAAAACGGCCTCTCCAGCGCTTCCGAAACGCTCCGTTTTCGTCGCTCGAGAACTCCGGCGTAGTGTGGACGGATGGCATAACCGTAGCAAAACTTATGCGTTTTCAAACTAAAACGCATTAGTGTAAACGGGGCCTCAGTTTCCTGTTCTTAGCTGACAGGAGCGGCACCCGGTGTGGTCTTCTGCTGCTGTAGCCCATCCGCCTCAAGGTTGGACGTGTTGTGTGTTCAGAGATGCTCTTCTGCAGAGCTCGGTTGTAACGAGTGCTTATTTGAGTTACTGTTGCCTTTCTATCAGCTGAAACCAGTCTGGCCATTCTCCTCTGGCCACTTGCAACAACGAGGCATTTTTGACATCCCGCTTAAATCATCTTTTAAAAGTGACTCGTCATTCCTTCTGTCAATATGTGGTTGAATCCGATTGCCATTTTCTCACCTTTATAAAAACTGACTCATGACCTGCATCAGAAATCTGATGATTTCTGGCATATCTGAAAAAAAGGTCCCATCTTCCGGTTCATGCAGGAATACAAGAATGGATGCTTTTTTTTCCCCCCAGGTCATTGCTTCTTTTTCATGCGTGCAGTGTAAACACAGACTTTAGACACAAGTCACTTTTTAAAAATAATGTGAACAGGTCATCATCATTAAAAAAATCCGATACGGTCACAAAATCAGAATTGACCATCAGGATCTGCAGCCTAATGGACTGATGGTGTTTTTCAGGCTTCATGTGTTTCCGAAGGGGAAGCATAACATTCATCTGCGCTACTCTGCTGAGTTCAACACACTGGTGGAGCAGTTTCTCAATGAGTGAAGGAGATCACAGCCATCGGATGTCCTGAAAACAAGGTGTTTATTTGTTTACTGGTGTTTCCATTAAAGGATTGTCGCCATTTGATCATCTGTATGCTTTCAGTTTAAAATCTGTGTGAACCGGAAGACTTTTTTCCCCGGTCTGATGATGTATTTACAACTCAAATGGAATATTGAGTAGGGGGCAGGACTTTATTTTGGAGCTCCGCCTTTTAGCTTTAGTCACAGTAAAATTAAAAGATTGGAGGGGCGTGGCTCGGCATATTTCAGCCAATCAGAGTCTTCAGAGAAGTACTGCTGTTACAGAGCAGAAGCAGATGAGCAGATTTTGATTTAAGATTACTGAAACAAACTCTTTATTTCAGTGGATTAATTTAGGCAGATAAATTATTTATTTTTATAGTAATAATATGCACTAGAAAGATAAACATTGTTCATTTTGATTTCATGTGTACTATCCTTTTAAGGACAATAAAGTTGACTGCTACTACTTACTACTACTTGGAATCATACCTGACAACATTTGTGTGAAATCAACAGTACAACTGGGTTGTAACGTATGTTTCCAGATTGAAGTAAAAAAAAATTCAGGCTTTAGTGCATGTTTTGTCCATTATTATTAATTTTATTAATTAAGTTTATACTTTTAATTAAGTTTATTAATTTGTTTCATTAGTATAATAAGCTTGGGAATAAAGTGAAGAGGATGGCTCAGTGGTTAGCACTGTCTTACAGCAAAAAGGTCGCTAGTTCGAGTCCCAGCTGGGTCAGTTGGCGTTTCTGTGTGGAGTTTGCATGTTCTCCCCGTATTGATGTTGGATTCCTCCGGGTGCTTCGGTTTCCCCCACAGTCCAAACACATACGCTATAGGGGAATTGATTTACTAAATTGGTCGTAGTGTATGAGTGTGTGTGAGTGAATGAGTGTGTATGGGTGTTTCCCAGTACTGGGTTGAGGCTGGAAGGGCATCTGCTGTGTAAAACATATTCTGGAATAGTAGGTGGTTCATTCTGCTGTGGCGACCTCTGAAATAGAGAGTAAGCCGAAGGAAAATGAATGAATAAATAAAGTTAAAAGACTTAAATTCTCAGTTTGTCTTGATTTATTATTTATGGATTTGAGTAAAAATGTTAATACTTGTTTTATTCTGTAAAGTCTGATACTATTTCGTCCAAATTTGAAATAAAAGCATATGTCTTTAGTTTTTTTTTCTTATGTAAAGAAATTTATCAGAATAATAAAAAGCATTTTAATTTGTTGTGATTGAAGATCAGGGTTATTCCACCAAAAAGTGATTTCTTAAATCTTCTAATCTTCTGAATGTAAAACTTTGATATTGTGTTGACTAAAAATAAACATAAATATGCATCTTTTTTTAAATGCATAAAAGGCTCTAAATTCTTAAAAATTTTATCACA